GTATCTGAAAGATACACACTCGCAGAACCAAACTGAACAGAACAGAAGAGAACAGAACCAAGGCAAACAGACAAGACACACACACAGACAACAGTTGGGCACTTGGCCATGGCTCTGGCTTTGGCTTTGGCTCTAGATGGGGGGCTTGGACGACGACCGCCACTTGGGTTCTGGTTCTGGAGGGCCCCACAGCGAAAGAGAGTGGGCAAGAGAGCCGAGCAAAAAAAAAAAGACAGTGGAAAAGGCAGTGGAAAGATAGAAGCCAACAGAACAGCACAGGGCCAGAGCCAGAGCTTAAGCCGAAGCGTTTGCTAGACAAAACCCGCTTGTGGGATCTTTGACCTGCGCTGGTGACGACCGAGAGAGCAGCGGCAGCCGCAGTCGCAGCCAACGTGGAACGATGGCCCGTCAACGCCTTGGCTGGGCCTGGAATCGTAGTGCTGGTCTCAGTGGTGGAACCTTAGAAGAAGTATCTCTGAGCGGGTTTTGCAGAGAAATGTGTGTATGCCTCTGAGAGGTGGCAAGTGTTGGGTCTTGGCGTTGTTTAATACAATTAACAGTAAATACCAGTTGTACAAACTCCAATTAGCTGTCCACCCATAGATACATATACATATATGTACATATACATATGTATTTATCTATCTTTCATCTATTGTCCCTTGCTTTTCTTTTCTTTTTGTTTCTTTTCTGTTTGTATCTGCAACACTTACATTGCTCTTGTGGGGCTGTGCTGGGCTCCTTTCTGGTTACAATGTTGGCAGTTCTGGTGGCAGCAGTTACCTCAATGTCTCTGCATATTCCACATAGATACAGGCACACACACACCGACACACACACACACTGTTGCACCAATCCACACACGCACAATATCGCGTCACTTGTTTTACTTATTTTGGCGTTTGCTGATCAAACCACTTTTTATATATTTTATTTTATTTTTGTATTGGCAATTTCATTTGTCATAAGCCATCAACATTTGCATGCACTTCCCCACATTGCCATTTGGAATTTGCCATTTGCACTTATTGTATTTCATTTATTTGCCTTCGTTTTTTTTTTCACGTTACGCCAACAACATTTCAATTAGATTTCCATGCGCGTAGCGTTGCTTTTTTTTTTTTTTTTTTTTTTTTGATTATTTTTTGTTTTTTCTTGTCTGCTTGGAATTCAGAATTTAGTTTTCGAGCGCCGTGCGCAGCCAGCAAATGTAATCTCTGGGCACCGAACCGCGGGCTCTGCAGAGGCAAACTCTCTCGCTGCTCGGTTGGAATCGAACTGAACTGAACTTGGCCTCCGGACGCCATCTTAGCCCGCTGCTAACTGCTGGAAGCGCTTCAGTCGGATAGAGAGGGAGAGGCTTACTTCCAGTGAGATCTCGGGGCGCTCTTTCCAGTCTGCCAATTGGAATCGGACTAGCAGCGATCTGGTCGGGCCAACAGCAACAGTTTCAGTTGGAAGATCGCGCTCAGTTGGTTTGGACGTATTCGCGGAGGTTAGCGCTGTTTTATTCAAGTGTTTTTTTTTTCTTAACAAAAAATATGTAATAAATCAAAGAATATTATTAAAACCCCAAATAGATTATTAAATATTAACTGCTAATGGAATTTCAAAGTTTTTTTGTTGTATGAAAGTGATTTTAGAATACTTTTCGCTCTCTGCCTCGCTTCTTTTATTTTACTCACCATCTCTCTCTGCTCTCTCTTCCTTCATTCCAGCGAGAGAGAGAGCGCACAGCCATCTAACAGTTTTGGGCCATTTGTTTTTGAGCTGCTCTTGAACTACGGACAGCGTGTGAGGCATAGAGCAGGAGAACAAGAAACAAACAAACCGTTGTTGCTCTTTCTGTTGCTGTGGTGGCTTGGCTATGAAAATGATTGGAAGCGATTACGTACTGGAAGCGCACAACATATTCCACACCACCGAGGCAAGTGCACCCACACCACTGGAACGCCAATTCCACCCCCAGAGCACTTTACACTTCCAATGACAGTCTTTTGTTTTTGTTTTGTTTTGTTTTTTGTTCTCCCAAAACAGGTGGATGGCGGCGGCTGCTTCAATGGAGCCGGCAATTCGGCGCTGGTGCTCAAAGGCGTCAACCTCACCGTCCACAGTGGCGAGGTGATGGCCATACTGGGCTCTAAGGGTAAACTAATAGATCAGCGAAAAGTTGTCCCGAATTACATTTTTTAATTTGTTTTCAGGCAGTGGAAAGCGGGCCTTGTTGGATGTCATTTCGAGGCGCGCCGATGGAGCCACACGCGGTCAGGTGCTGCTGAATGGATCGCCGTTGTCCAAGGCCTTGTTCCAGCAACGCTGCGGCTATGTGACACAATCCTGCACCTTTGTGCCCGGCCTGACGGTGGCCCAGACGCTTCACTACACGCCAACGATTGTGAGTGTTCCATCATTCCACCATTCCCACAGAGACATCAAATAATTATGGTATCCGATGCAGCTGAGTGGCTATCTGAAGAGTTCCAAGGTGCGACAAGTGCTGGCTGATTTGGCCCTGTCGCAGGTGGCCCACAAGCGTGTGGAGTACCTGAACATCAGCGAGGCGAGACGCCTGGCCATTGGCATACAACTGGTCAGAGATCCTGGTGAGTCCGATCACGCCCCCCGAAATGAGTGTCCTTAACCACGTGACTTTCCCCCGCGTAGTCATGCTGCTGCTGGATGAGCCCACGCATGGACTGGATCCCCTGAGCGCCTATCTGCTGATATCCATTCTATCCAACACGGCCAAGAAAACTGGTTGTGGGATTTTGCTGTCGCTGGAGAAGCCCCGCTCCGATGTGTTCCCATTCTTGGATCGAGCTCTGTTTCTGTGCCTGGGCGGCGTTGTCTACTCTGGCGGCACTCGCGCCATGCTGGAATACTTTCATGGCATTGGTTTTCCCTGCCCCCAGCTGGAGAATCCCCTCATGTATTATCTCTGCCTGTCCACGGTGGATCGTCGCAGCCGCGATCGGTTCTTGGAGTCCAGCCAGCAGATTGAGGCGCTTGTGGAAAGATTCTCCAGAGAGACGCCCATCTCTGATGCGCCTTTGAATAACATGGGATCGGGCAAGGTGCCGCTGGCCTACGGCAAGCCGGGCGAGCTTAAAGTCTGGGTTATGCTGTACTTGTAAGTGCGGAGCCGCAACACAACCTTTTAGTTGGTAATTTGTGTTTGTTTTGCTTAGGAAACTGCTGGCATCTACCTTCTCGTGCGGTCTGGTTGGCATGAAGACGCTTTTCCTTCGACTGCTACTGCTACCCATAGCCATGAGCATACTCTGGGCTTTCTATACAAATGTGGGGGTAAGTAATCAGCTGCACCATACACTTGTAGTTCTGTAACTTAACGTATGTGCTTCCCAGGATGATGCACATGGCTTCTTCACCAGAAATGGAATGATTCTGAATATATTGGGCTTGTCCTATGGCTGCGGTATCCTCACTACCATAACTCTATGTAGGTTCAAGTTTAATCCATAAAGATTCGCGTTTAAAGTTCTTTGTTGAATCGCTTGCAGTTCCCGTTTGGCGCAAGAAGCTCTCACAGGACACACCAGAGGGCCTCTACTCCGGCACCACACTCCTCATAGCCTACAATGCCGTCTCCATTCCTTTCTCTGCAGTATCTGCGGTCATTGCCAGCTGTGTGGTCTATCCGTAGGTGCCACTGAAACATGAGATAAGTTCCAAACTAAAAGCTTTCCTAACCGTAGATTGCTGCTGGATTTGAAGTACAACAACGGCATTGTATTTGCCTATCTGCTTGTGGCACTTTGGTCCAGTTTCGTGCTCGCCGAACAGCTGACAATTGCCTTTCTGCTGGTCGTCAAGGTGCCCTTCAATGCAGCCATCGCGGTGACCTATGCGCTGGTCATCAGCGTTGCCCTGGCCAGCGGCACAGTGCGGTGGGTAGCACAATCCCACGAGATCAATTGGGGATATATTTGAGAGTTTTTATGGTTTTTCTTTACAGCTCCTTCAAGGGCCTTCAGCCCTGGCTGCAGGACAACACAAAGGGCACACACACGCGCTACGCATCCTCCCTGCTGCACAGCATCGCCTTCCAAACGCGAAAGTTGAATTGTACGCCGACTGCCTCCGTCATTTGCCCCAAGCCAACGGACTTTATGCACGAGCGTCTGGGCTTGCCACATCCAGATGTAATTTATACACATTATAATATCCCAAGCAACATTTAATCAACCTACAATACTTACAGGAGACAATTGATGTGGCTGCATCCTGTGCGTTTGCCGTGGGCCTGGCTGCCTTCAATATGCTCGTGTATTTGTTCCCCATGCCGCGCTGTGTGCGACAAAAGTTCAAGGACTGAGTACATCGGAGTCCGGCGATTAGTGAAACTGCACAACATGACTAACTTTATTTATTTTAAGCTTATTTCCAACATAAAAACCACATAAAAACTAAAATCATAAGAAATTGGCGGGTGAACATCGATACTTTGTAGTATCGATCGTGGCAAGTATCGATATTACAGATGCAAATGCATATCGCTACTCGAAGTGAGTACTAATCGATAGCACTATTTAAAAAGCATCGCAACGCCATATCGAGATCAAAACATTTTGGCGCCAAATAATATTCGATTTTTATGAGTTACATATCATTTTATTTACAAGAAACCTTAAAGTTAATACAATTATGTAGTGAATTCATTGAATATTACACAACAAGTACAAAATCAGCCGCTCTTCGATACAATTTTGGCTTCCGATTTGCTTCATTTTTTCATTTTAACAATTGTCTAACGACTAAACATATACTTTTTATTTAAATAACTAGATACACGCATGGAAATTCATTAGAACGCATCTTGAATCTGAATCTGAAATCTGATTGAATGAATGTACGCGAGTGTTAATGGGTGCTAAGCAGGTTCGATATTATTCGATTCGATATGATATGCACATGAAAGATAATGCGAGCGAGTGCAGGCGGAACCGGAGCGGAGCTGCTGCTAGAGCTGTGATTGTGATTGTGATCTTGAAAATACTGTGGCACCTATACAGAAAAATGAGACTGAAAAAAGGAATGGATATGGATATGGATCGTTTACGCTATGAATAGTTTAGTAGTTAATGGTCAAGGCAGTGAGTGCAAAATGGATTTAAAGGTACAGTTGTGTAAATAGTTAGTTGGAGTGCTGGGGCCAGACCAGAGCAGCGGCTGTAGCGCTCAGTCCGTGTCGTAGTAGGCATAGTCGTAGCTGGTGTCCTCGTCCGCATACGGTGGCCGCTGCCGCTTGCCGGCTGGCCTGTCCTTCTTGTCCAGCTGCTTCTCCTTTTTGCTCCTGGCCGATTTCTTCGCCTCCACGGGTGCACTTGTTGTGCTCGTTGTGGTCGTCGTCTTCGTTGTGCTTGGTCGCCTGGTCGTGGTGCTTGTGGTGGTCGAGGTGGTGCTGGTCAATTGGGCGGTGCTGCTGCTGCTGCTGCTGCTGTGAGTCGTCGGCCTGCTGGTGGTCTGGGCGGTTGTCTTCGGACTAGATGGCGCTAACTGCGGACTGTACTGAGAGTTGTACTGCTGCGACGTCTTCTCCGCCTTGTAGATGTCCGCCCGCAGCTTGTTGATGCTGGCAGCGCCAAAGTTCAGCGACTGGGCCGTCTTGAAGATCTCTTCTTCCTCATCGCTGAGGTCCGACTCGCGCTCCCTCTGCTGTTGGCTCCTCGGATGGCTGTGTGCCTGCTGGAAGCCATGCGGCTGCCTGCTGGATGGCGGCGCACTCGGAGTGGTTGTTCTTGTGGAGCTGGAGCTGGAGGATCGGGTGCGCAGGAAATTGAAGCGATTGCGTGGGAAATCGTTCTCATACAGCTCCGGATGGTACTGGCCATCATCCTCGTCCACATTGTAGTACGGATTGGCTGTGGTGGGCAGTGCTCCGGCCACCGTCGATGCCTTCTTCGTTGTACTCTGACTGGGCCGCTGTGTCTGCTGTGCCTGATAGAAGTTCTGCTCGTAGGGCTTCTTGTAGGTTGTGGGCTTGAAGGTGGTCGGCGTGAATGTGTCCTTGGGCGCATGCGTAACCTTCTTCACAGCAGCAGCAGCTGATGACTGGGCACCGGCACTGGCCGCCGTGGTGCGGAAGTGCAGCTCATCATCCGGATACCGTTCGGTGGTGGCCTTGTAGGTGATGCTGCCGCGGCTGGTAAACGAGCGCGGCTTCGCACTGGGCCCCGAGCTGGCGGATGCCTTGAAGGGCGCCGGCTCCTGGCTGCCCACTCGGGACAACTGTTGCGGCTTGGGGCGCTGATAGTGCGGCTCCAGCTTGTTCTGCGTGGCCTGGAAGGGTTGCGGCTGCTGCACCCTTGGGCCTTTGGGCACGTCGACGAACTCGTTGTGGTTTATGTAGTTTGGACTCCTGGGGTCCCAGCTTCTGTTTGCGTGCCGCCGCTACCGTGGGCTTGTTCCGCTTGGTGGTCTCCTTGTCGAAGTCCTGCACATTCTTGCCCGTCAGCTTGGTGGAGCTCGATGGCTGCTCCGTGTACTTGGGCGGCGGCGGCGTGCTCTTGAAGCGATAGGCGCCACTGTTCGGATTGTAGGTGGTGGGCTGGATGCGCTCCTGCGTCTGGTAGTCGTTCACGCCGAAGCTGAAGCGGCTGGTGATGCTGCTGCTGGGTCTGGGCGTGGTCGTCGTCCTGCTCTGTGGCGAATAGTCCAGAAAGTCCGTGTTGAATGAGGCATGCAGCGTGATCTTCTTCAGCGACTTGCTGCTGGTGCTGCTGCTGCTGGTGGTCGGAGCGGCGGTGGTGCTGCTGCCAGTGGGGCGCTGTCCCCGGGTGGGCGTGACTCGCGACTTGCTGGACGCCTCCGTGGTCTTGCGATTGTAATCGCTGAAATCGTTGGGCTTCGGTCGCACTCCCGTCGACGACGATGATTCCTCATCGTACTCGCGCCCGCCGTGGCGGTTCGAGAAGAAGTGCGAGCTATGGGAACCCTTGAAGATATCATCAAAGTCTTCTGTGGAGTGGAGTGGAGTGGAGTAGAGACAAGAGCGTGATTAATTCGAGTAATAAATCTGAAGATTCCATTGTCTAGCAGTGTTGTTGTTGTTGTTGCTGGCTTACGCTTTGAGTCATCGTTGTTGTTGTTGTTGTTGCTGTAATAGCTGCGCTCCGTCGTGCTGGTGGTGGTGCTTCTGCTCGTGGTCGGGCTGCTGCTGCTGCTCGCTGTTGTCGGCGTGTAATAGCTGGAAATGGGTCGCTTGGTGGATTGCGTGATCTCCAAATTGGGACTGGAACTCGAACTCGAACTGGAGCTGGAGCTGGAGCTGGCATAATTGTGTCGCGGGCGTGACTTCTGCTCGCCGCGACTATTCTCCTTAGATCGACGGACATCGCCTGCAATTACACGAGGCGGCCCCCCATTGAAATTAAATTTAATTGCTGAAGAAAGCCCTGGGAGTCGCTTACCTGTTTCGGCACGCTGCAGATGGAAGGTGGCCTCCTCCTCGTTGGCGCCCTTGCCATCGCCATCGCGATACAAATCGTTTAGGTTATTATTGTCGTAGAAGGAGGTGGCCTTGTCACAGTCCACGTCCGCCCAGTTGGCGCAGATCTGCAGCTCCTGGTCGAAGGCCGTCGTGTTGGGGCAGAGGAAGCGATAGTCCTGCACCTGTTGGACAAACGGATTAACTCTTCGATGTACGAGCTGCACACACAGCGAAATCATCATCAAAACACAGCACCACCAGATAACCAGAGCAACATGCAAAATTCAATGTTATAAATGGATTCAATTTTCAGCCAAAGCATTAGAGCCAAGACCAAGGCAGCAGCAGCCGCCACAGCAGCAGCCACAATTGGGGCTCGCAGCCAAGCCACAAATTCAGGTAATTCAAACTGGCAGAAAACTAAACTACACCGCGGAAAAAAAAAAATTAAGTAATTGCCAACGAAAGAGCAAATTGAGAGCTGTTCGATTAAATGGGAATTTAAAGCAGGAAGCTTTTTCTGAAGGCTGAAATTTAAGCATATTTGATACAGAAGAATGATCATGGGACACAGATGTACATAGATTAGACGCCTCTTGAATTTGTGAGTGCCACAACAGGAACAAAAAAGACAATCCTTACCAGCGAAAACTCAAGTCAAGCAGCGAAGAGCCTTGGGCCTTTTATTGCTTACTCTTCGAGGGAAAATCTCGTGGCAAACTAGTTTCTATTTAACGTTTTTTTCTCCCAGTGTAAGCTGCTCGTAATTGAAGCCACTTTGGCCCAGCTACTGTAGGCATTCACACATCCAATCAGATGCTTCCTTGTGCGGCGAATGATAATGCCACAGTGGCCCCCAGCTCCATGCCTGGTATCAGGTTGCCTGCCACAAACTTTGGCATTTGCAACGCTGCCACTTGACATTTTGCAGTGGCCCACAGTGGCCCCGGGGTCCCAGGTGACGATGATGCCGCGAAGAAGTGAACGTTCTCGGTCTGGTTCTCGATGCCGTTCGGCGGGGGCCTCCACTCCATTGTGCACACAACACACACAACCCAGTTGGCTAATTGACAATCAGTTCAAAATCCATATGTATACAAAATAGTCAAAGTCTTCAATAAAATACAACACACTCCAGCGTACTCGAAAAAACACACAAAACAAAATAGAAAATAAAAAAGGAAACACGTTTGTACTGGCGGCTGATTAAAAGAATGGTAAGCGGCTCGAACTTCAACTGCAACAGCAACAGCAACTGACAATGGCAACTCCTGTGCCCAGGTAAAGGTCTATCTGTTTCGCAAGCTGCATTCCATCAGCCAGATGCAGCGCGATGTCTGGGAGGAGGCGGTGTCCGAGGTGGTGGATCCGGTGCTCGGCGGCAGCACCAGCACCATCATCAACTACGGCGAGCGAATGGACTACGGCAGCGACGAGAACGATGTGATGGCGCGCATCTTTGGCGATTTGTTCCGGCACGTCTACACTCTGGAGCTGACCATGGAGGTCAACATATCCGTCCGGCACGTTGAGCTCAATGGCGAGCGTCCAGAGTCCACGGGCGACATGGAGGGGCAGGACCATAGGCCGTCCAAGCAGCACTTTGTGGCAGCCACCGGGGATGTCTATGCCTACATTGAGCGGGTGATGCGGCGCCTGCCGCAGAGCCGTGTGCTCTTCACGCTCAACGTGCGGCAAACGAATATCGATCAGTCGAGAAAAGTCTACGGAAAACTGCAGTTCATACACCTGAAGAGTGCCACGGCGGAGCCGTGGCGCGACGACACCAGCACGTCCATGGGCGCGCTGCTGAAACTGTTCAAGGCGCTGTCCCGCAGCCCCAAGTCCCACATGCGATACCACAACATCAACTTGAACCGGCTGCTCCAGGAGGTGCTGGACAGTGTCGACAGCACTGTGGTGATCAACTACACAGAAGCTCCGGTGTTCCACACATCGCTGATGGCGCCGCCCTGCTCTCCAGCACTAGAGCACGAGCCATCCGCCGAGGTGTGGAAGGCCCTGTACAGACAGGAGCAAACGAAGTATCGCTGCCTCAAGGAGAAGGTGCTCAGCCTCGAGCTATGGACCAGCAGTGAGGAGAAAGCTGCAGCTGTATGAGATGATGGATGCGCTGGAGAGCGATTCCGAGGAATATAACGAGTGCAGCAGCAGCGACACGGCCCTAGGGACGAAGCAGGTGGACTGGCAGGACCAGGACAAGGACAAGGACAAGGACATTGTGCCTGTGTCCACACAGAAATTGCAGCAAATCCGATGGGAGGCAGAGCTGACAGTTGAAGAGCTGCAGCAGCTGCAGTCGAGAGTGGAGCTGCTGGCCCACAAGAATCAGCAACAGCAAAAGGAGCTGCAGAAAAGGGACGAAATGGTGAGCCAACTGAATGGCGAACTAATCAGGGTCAACGAGGAGCTGCTGCAGCAGAAGATCTCCTTCCGGCAGAAGCTGGAGCAGTACACGGAGAGGTTCAATCAACTGTGGCAGGATCAGAGCCAGGTCTTCCAGGCGCATGAGCTGCAGCGCAAGCAGCAACTGTCCGAAATGCTCGACAGCTACTGCAAGGAGATGAAAAGCAGCCACGAACGGCAGCTGGTCCAGCTGCAGCAGCAGCAGCAGCAGACGGAGCAGCTGTAGTCAGGGAAGAGTGGAAAACAACTCGAAGCATGCAATAAAGAAACGAACAGAAAACCCACACTTAAAGGTCACCGATCCGATCCGATCCAAGCGCTGCACAGCAAAGTCTTCTTCAGGTCTAAGTATCATCCGGCAGAGGCCAGTCACGAAGCCCCATCACACATTCTCCTCCTGCTGCTGCTTCTGCTGCCAGCCTCGCTGTGCAACTTTGCCATTTAGCTGGCACTTTGACACAGAGACAGCACATCGCGCGGGGTTCGAGCCAGAGATCTCAACGAGCGCCTGCAAGTTCGTTTCCCAAGTCTTTCGTTTTCCTACTCTGAACATTGCATGGGGGGGAACTTGAATCTAAGTTTAGAACAAAGTAAGGCCCCAAAGGAGCACAGAATCTGTGGCACTAGAACCAAGCGGCTTAAATGTCAAACGGATCCAAAAGGGTAGCCTAACCAAAGAGCCTTTACCATTCGTTGTGGCTTGGGCATGGCATTTCTTTTAGCTGACTCGGCTGCTGCCGCCTTAATCGCAGGCTGTTGCACTTGCAAGAGGAGACAACACTTACCCCGATTCCGGGAAGCTTCACGCACACATGGAACATCTGGCACTGGGTCTCGGGATCCGCATAGTAGCCGCCGAGTATCTTGTCGTGGCAGGTGAACTGCGTCTTCGGCATATTCTGCAGACTGTACGTGGGCCAGGGCCTGCCGAAAGCCAAGTCATCGTCCTCGTCGAGCAACTGTGCCTGGCCGATGCCGAAGCTGCTGCAAAGTGTCGCCGCTGTCGTTGCTGCAAGATTCAGAAACAGAAATCGTGATCTGGTTAGGCTTGTGCGTCTTCAAATGGAAACTCAAGTAGTGCTAGAATTGGTGCTCAGCCTGAAACCGAGGCTGGAGCTGGAGCTGTTGCTGGTGCTGATGCTGACCAGTGGACGAGTGACCTTCAGTGTGGCCGGGGCTCGCATCACTTTCGCTTACATGATGCCAGCGCAATCTCGAGACGAGCTCATGATTTATGTGTGCCGCAGCAAGCACTTGTGGCGGTCCAAGGCTGAGCTGAGCTGAGCTGAGCGAGCCACCAACCAGCCTCCAACATGGTTCTGCGTGTGCCTGTCTGCTTTTTTTTATTTATTTATTTTGGGTCCATTGATTGGTATTTCTGATACCGAGAGACATCATTAACATTTCGGTCATTTCAGTCAAACGGCTAAACAAGACGCCGCATTCCCACAGCGATATGTGTGTGTGTGTGTGTGTGTGCTCGCTGGGGTCAGTCCAGCTGTCAAATTAGCCACCAAAAACGGATCTGTGTGGATCCACTCTGCTCATGAGGGTCGTTCAATTAAAATGCCAAGTCAATCACTTTCATGGCACATATCGCAGTGTGCCTTGTCGTACCTGCGTCGTACATTAAAAGCTAATTAAACCCGTGACTCCTCCTAATTGCCATCACACCCATCATGTATCATCATGTATCTGTCTCGGACTGTATCGCCGAGTAGTTTGTTTTCTATTTGTACGTAATGTGGCAGCTTCTGTTCTTGGCCAACGCCAGCGGAAGATGAGCAATTAAGGCAGATTGTAATTGCAATTTTTAACTGCAGCTGCAGCCAGCATCGGTGGCTTTTCGGTTGGTCTGGCCCGGCACCGCCAGGGCACAAATTGCACTCACAGGTTGCATAATGCCGCAGTGCGCCCCATTCATCATGCCACAGCCACAGAAAAAAAAAAAATAGGGAAAAACAGATAAAGAAAACCCAAAACCCAAAAACCAAAACAACAAAAAAGAGAAAACCAACTATCCAGCCTAGCTGGATGGCTCAAGAAGAAAGACGACGACGCTGTGCAGCAACCCGACGCGACGCGACGCGACTCGACTCTGATTCGCATTTAATTCAAATTCAAATGAATTTCAATTGCAGCTTGCCAACCCCTCCAACCCGCCTCCTCCACCCATTGTGTGGCAGTGAACTATGACTGGACTGAAGGGGCAGCAGCTCTTTTGTGTTTCCTTTAACCCAAAATGCAGATTGTTCGATTCCGATTTCAATTGCTTTTGTGGGAATGAGTGAATCTCTAATTTGGTTGCTGACTGCCCCTACAAATCGGAAAGCGCTCGAAGCGCAGTCAAGTGGAGTGAGTCGCACGCTGGAGTCCCCCCTCAAGCTTCCGTTTTTTGGGCGTTGTCCCAATCCACTCTCCTCCAATCATCTATCTCCATCTGCTCCTCCCTTTCAGTGCTGCTGCTGCGAGCGGTTGGTAATAAGATAATTTACAATGCGGTAATTATGCAGATGACCTACTCTTAGCCATAATTGCCATTTCTCAGCCTTGTCTTCGTTTCGCCCTGCTGCGGCAGCTGGCCAACAAATTACATTTGATTTCGAATGTGATCGATATGAAACTCATTGAATCCCATTAATTTCTTTCGCGATCAATGGACCTTGAACCAGCAGCAGCGGCAGGGGCAGCGGCAGCCCATCATTTCTATTTGAAACAGAAAAAATGTGCTGAAGACAACCCAACTAATGAGCATCATGCGATTATTTCTGTTTTTTGCGATGTGATGGGATCTTTGATGTCCAAGCACAATATGCGATTGTTCATGAATCATGATCATGCAGAAGGTCGATTGCCACAATTAAAGAAGTGCCAAGAAAAATAAAAACAAAAGCCTACAAGAAAGTTACCCCACTAATCGATATTTGATCTGGCATTTTCTAACTTTTTCTAAAGCTATTTTTGTAATGATAATAAATGATGGCAAGCTGCAGGATGAAGCATGCTTACAGCTAAAAATACTGTAGATATTTTATGTACTTCACATGATCATAATTTTTGGTTATATTTCAGATGCATAATTCAGGCCTTTTTGAATATATATTGCTCTATCATTTGCAGAATAAATTAGACCAAAAATTCTTTAAAAATAAACCTAACTTTAATTTTAAGTTTAGTTTTTGTACTCACCCAAAATGATGGCAAACATTTTATAATCAACACTCAACATGTCGGTTCAGTTTTACGGGGTAATCCAAATCGAGTGATTCTGTCCAAAGTCAGTATGATATATCCAATGGGTAATCCAAAGCGATTAAGCTGCTAGTTAATGTCGATTTGCACATGGATCGCACTGCAAAACAAGACAGACAGAGAGACACAACACCAGAGAGAACGCATGAGTATGGGAAGGGATTCGATTTGATTTGATTTGATTGGATTGGATTGCGAAAATCCCACAAGCCGCACAAGATGTTCGCTGCGTTTCGTTTCGTTTCGTTTCGCCTTGTTTCGCTTCGCTATTCACGAACTTAACACCACCGCTCTCCAAAAAAGTGTCCGTCATGTAGGAAATGAGTCGGTGGAGTCGGTGCCGACAAGACCAAAAATATAATAAAAATTGGTTCTTCTTCTTTCTTCTTTTGCGTTCGCCAAATTCAAACGGTATGTAAATGCGTACGAAAATGGGTTTCGCAAGGTGCGAAAACTACGGAAGAGCCATTTAGAAGGTGCAGCGAAACGTTGAGAGACGTGCCGTGCCGTGCAGTGGCGTCGACGTCTGCCTCACTTGACTGGGCAGAAAACGGCAGAAAAAAAGCACAGAGTCGAGTCACAGCTGCCACTTGCAACAGGGCAAACAGAGAGGCAATGCATAGGCAGAGGTACGAACCGCACGGAGGAGACAGGCGAACCAAGCGAGCCAAGCGGGGCGCTGCGATGCGATGCGCGATTTGTGACTGGATCGTTTACGTTGTCGAAGCGAAATGATTTCGGAAAGCGAAAGGAAAAACCACTTGGAGCCCATCACAGTGCTGCTGCGGCAGAGACGCTGGCAGCAGCCGCAGATCACCGAGCGAACCATCTTCGTGCTCGTCGTCTCGTATGACCCGACTCGACTCGACTCGGTACTCGGTATTCGTGCTCGTTTTTGGTTCTGCGGCTTCTTGTGGTCTGGTCCCCTAGATGCATGCTTAACGCATATTACGCATACGCAGCGTGTGACCAGATGACACTTGTCTGCATTGTGCCCTGCTGCAGCGTTGCAGCGTTGCAGCGCTGCAGAGCAGCTGCACCATTACACTGCCTGCCAGGAGTCGTCACTCATCATCACTTACGTCAGCCAGCCGCAGGGCCAACTCATGATTGTGGGCAAGCGCTGGCCGCACTCTCACTCCCACCGCAATTACACCCGTACCCGAAACCGTACCCGAACCCGTATCCATACCCTTACCCTTACCCGTACCCGTACAGTTCACGTAGCACAGCGCCTGGTCTCTTGGGTTGCATCTTCCGCTGGGGTATTATGTCATAGTCATGGCGGGGCTTTGTCATTTGCTGGCCCATCTGCTGTGGCTCTTGCTGTTGCTGTTGCTGCCACTGCCACAGCCACAGCCGCTGCCATGTCGGGGCAAAAGTCGCGATGCCACCGACAATCCAATCCGGTTATGTCTATATGGGTGAGTGTGGCACAGAGAACGGGGCAATGTGCGGCATTTTGTTGCAGTGTGGGAATTTACACGCCTGCAGATTTTGGGCCAAAAATCTGTGCATCTTGGGCGTTGCTACCAGATGGGGCAGATTCACCACATTTCGCATTTTGACTGCGCCCAGATAAAGGCGAGCAAAAAAACCTCAAGCTGTCACCTGGAACTGGCAGCTTGGCATTTCAAAGTTGAGGTTGCCTGCCGGAAAAACACACAAAAAAAAAAAAAAATTCCAGACACCGAAAACAGGGCAAAGGCAAAGGCAGAGGCAAAGTCATGCAAAGCAGCTGCCAGACTGCGGCACACAAAAAATGTCAACTTAGGAGTTTGGTGGAAGGGAAGTGAAACCGAAACGGAGGACGAGCCTGCGCGACTGCGCGACTGGATGACTTTCAACCTGGCAGCCACATTCACCAAAAAACTTGGTGGGAAGTGGCATATGGCATATGGCAGAGGCAGAGACAGAGGCAGAGGCTGTGTCTGCTGCCATTTTTCTAATTTGCTGCTGATTGTGATTGTGTAAGAGATGGCAGAGGAGTCCCAGTCCCAGTCCAGTCCCAATACTCGTAATAAATGCACAGTTTATACTCCTGTGTGTGCCAATGACTCACGCGATCTGCTGCCTGTCTGCCCTCTGCGTGGGAAAGGCCAATAACAAGGAAGTGCCAGTACCCAGTGTCCAATGACCCAGCTCAACCCGAGATGACTCCAGACACGAACTAGCAGGCGTTCGCTGCATGGGTCCCAATGGATTTCTGCGTGGCATTACACAGCATCTACGCTAAGCGGATTGGATTCTAATTAGCGAGCGACCGCCTTCAATTAAATACCCATCACATCAGTTCGAATGGCCTTACAATAGATAGACACCGCATTGACATTGATAAATGTGTTCTCCCCCTCCCCACCGACAAAGACACGAATTCGGTGTTTCATTTGGCAGCTACAAGTGCTCGGAAAACAACTACAAGACCGAAGCGCCGAAACGCTGTGCTGCTGCTGCTGTCTCGGCTCGTTAAGAATCCGTTTGTGAGGTAAATTATTTAATTTTTACTCATTATGTAAGCTTTGCCAGCTGCCTGAATGCTTGGTGATGGTGTAGTAAAAGTGCCGAAAGCATTTGCACATCGTGTGGGAGCCAATGGAAAATGCATTCACCCAAAATGCATTCCACCAGCAGCAGCAGAAGAAGAAGCAGCCTCAGCAGCAGTGGCAGTGGCAACAGCAAAACTAAAAATTCAATTAAGCTGAAGATGCGCCTGAGCAAACTCCCGCTTCTCTTCGAGCAGAGTCTTGGCCTGGCATTTGGTGCCATCGCAGCGACAAGTAACGCGCCAAAAAATGCAAAAAGCCTGGCAGAAGCCAAAGCAGAAGCAGAAGCAGAAGTCGAGGCAGAGCCACTGCGGCAGGCCAACCACTAACGAGTCGCAACTGGCGAGGATTGCGATTGGGATTGAAGCTGGAATTGGAATTGCAGACGGGTAGACAGACATACAGATTGGCAGACGGGTGGACGGCCATCCCAGGTCGTTGAGTAATTGTGCAGCAATGAGCATGGGCTGCCAGCAGATTTTCCCGTTGATAAAGTGCAGCACTCGGAAAACCTTTTGCCAGGCAGCCGCTCATAATAAGAAATTGCATACCAGTGTATACCTCAGGTATACCTGGTATAACTGTGTACACTGTACATACATATATTGTGTGCATTTTATGTGTTTACACATTGGCTGGGATCGGGACTGGGATTGGGATTGGGAGGCTGCACGTGGCAAATGCTGCCAGCCGCAGACGTAGACGCAGGCCACAGCTGTGCAATTTAGAGTTTTATGGATGCCACGCTGCTTGCGAAACCCGAAAGCTTTTGCAGGATGGGGAATGGGTCGGTCAGTCAGTCAGTGGGTATGTGTGTCTGTCTGTCTGTCTGTCTGTCTGCCTGTCCGCCTGTCGGTGAGTGGTCTGCCTGGCTAATTTGACGCATTCGCCATGATGCGGCGGCATGTTTGAATAAAAATCCGGCGAGTCGAGACGCATTAAAAATAACCAATAAAATGAAAGACTTGAGCAACGAACTTGTTTTCGATTAAAGTTATAAAGATTCCCGGTAGACCATTGGCACGCTGTATTTCAAGGAATTTTCCTCTAGTTAGAACTTCCATTAGGTCGGGGCTGGGTTAGAATAAATAATTGAAATTGCTTAGCGTTATTTATTTATCCTAAATAAATTGAATACACTAAGTTAAACCTGCGTAATATGTTTACATATTTATATTTATTAAAGTTTATCTTTGAATAATAAAATAAAATAAAATAATAAAATTGAATAATAACATAATGTGTTTAAGAATCCACCTAAGCGAATGTAAGTACTTATACAACTTTATTTGGAGAACATTCCATTAAACAGATTAAAGACTTAATCCGCCTTAATCCACATCCAACGCTAGTCAATGCAGTCAAGCATTCTAAATTGTATTTGCTGGCACTCGTGGACTAGCCTCAGTCTGCCAACACACACACACACACACAAACTGCAGTCGAAATTTGCATAAAATGTGCATTAGCCGCCCACCCCCGCTGAGGCAACGGCCTCGCCACCACCAGCACTACTACCAGCAGCAGCAGCCGCAGCATAAGCACCAGCATCATCATTATCACCATCCATCCACCAACAGCCTCCGCATCGCATCCCAGGCTAGGCCAGAGCTAGTCAGACCGAGCCGAGCCGGGCCGGGCCGGGCTGTGCCACACCAAGGCGCAACTTGTGCCGAAATCTGCACGACGAAACGTGAGAAAATGTTATAGACATTGCAGTTGCTATGCCGCCACACAGACAAACACATACTCGTACGTTCGTACCTGCTAGATACGAGTGTATCTATGCTTGCATAGATGGATCATGGTAGAAGCGAAATAAAAACTAAATAATAAAAATATTTGGTAAATTATGGGAATGAATGAGACGAAACGTTGATGGAGGTGGAGGTGGTTTAGGGGCGGCAAAGAATCCAGCAGATGCAGATGCAGATGCTGCACCAAGAGTAGTTTTGTTACTGTGTGGTGGTGCTGGTGGTTGCTGTATCTGTGACTAATTGCATGCCCATACAAATGCACTTTTCGTAATTATTTGGCCGTACTGCTGGAATATGTGTGAATTATTATGCAGTCAGGGTTCCATTGTAATCATGTTAATGAGCTTTGTCGGCGCTGGTCTGCGTTGCAGTTGGATCTAAGCTGAAGCACCGACATTGTTCGTGAGTCTTCTGGAAAGAAAGACAGAGAGAGAGAGAGAGAGAAGAATCTAAATTCTGAGTCGCCAAATGCCAAATGCCAGCGCCAGAGCAAAAGCTGCATGGCTAATAGCTACTAATGCTGACCAGGATGCTAGCTCTAAGCGCTAGACACTAAGCTGAAATTATGCGCATTTTCAAGACAACTTTTATTTTATGGTAATTCAATTAGACGGCATCTTTTGTCACCCATCACCCACCAGCAGCAGCAGCAGCAGCAGCAACAACAGCAGCAGCAGCATAACCCAGCAGCAACATTGCCTTTTGCCTGAACTCTGCCCAATGCTGACTGTGGCGGCGGGGTCTTCTTCATTTTGCAGGGAAACATTTTGGGACAAAAACGTTTTTTGAGGAGCGCCACTTGCTGATCGTTTGTTTGCCAAAAAACACGACAACAACAGCAACAGAGACAACAGCCACAGCGGCAACAGCCACAGCGGCAACTTGGCTTTTTGCTGATTTATGCGTTTTGCAGCATTTAAATTGGCATTTATGTCAAACTGCGGTAAGGGTAAGTAATATTTTGTATAATACATTTCGCTTTATTTGTTTTATAACCCAGCCAAGCAGCCAGCCAGCGTCCTTGGGCTCTGTCCGCTTCGACACTTTTCCAGCCAGCCCCAGACCCCCAAACAGCCGATGAGATCTCTTTCCCATGGCTGCCACTTGCAAAATGAAGATGATGATGAATCCAATGATGCTGTTGCCGATGCTTGTGCTGTTTACATTCGCTTTCAGTTTATTGAGCTGCGGCAGGGCATTTGTTAAACAAATTGTTTAATTGTTCCACAATAAGTTACGTATGCACCCCCCCTTCCAAGCCACAGGTTTTCTACTTTGTCAAGTAACCCAAAGAAGTTCCTCAGTTCTTGTGGCAATTTTGAGACTGAACTTTGTTCTTCTAACATTTGTGGCTGCAATGCTTCCTCAACTCAAATCCGAAACGAATAAAAAACGAATCGAAGACTTGAAATTCGTCGAAACGG